CTATGATTCTATGATTCTAGGTGATTGCCTTGTCATACACCTTTGTTTTCTGATTGCTGGAGCAGAAACATCTCTCTGTCTTTCTGTCTGCCCTCTGTGACAGTGGCTGTACTTTCTTTACATTATGAATTGCAACTGTTGCATTGCCTCCTTAGTTTATCCTGTTTGACTCTACGTCTGTTTGAATGTTTGACTTTAGGCCTGTCTTCATGGCACATTTCTTCTCTTTGTAGAATTCAGAGACATAGCCGTGTTAGTCTAAGCAAAAGGATTTTGTAGTATCTTTGAGATTACCCAAAAGACTGCTAGAAATAGTGCAAATTGAGTCCACTTTAACTGCCCTGGCTCAGTGCTAGGGAATCATGGGAATTATATTTTTTTGTGAGACATTGAGCCTTCTCTGTCAGAGAGCTCTGGTGCCACAATAAACTACAGTTCCCATGATTCCCTAGCACTGAGTCAGGGCAGTTAAAGTGGACTCAATTTGCACTGTTTCTGGAAGTCTACAAAAGCAATTGGTCTCCTTCCTCAGATGCACAAAGTGAACTGGTGCTCAGAAAGAATCTTTACAATCAGACTGTATGAATAGCCATAGAACTGAAAAACTTGTGGGTATGATGATGAAGTGCCAAGTTCAGTTTTAATGATGCATGCTAAGGGACAAAGACAAGAGGAAAGATGTTGCCGAAGGCCAGGGTGGGTGGATGACCATATGCATGGTGCAGGGAGTTTTCCAATGTAGTGTGTGCAAGCTAGGAATAATAATAAAAAAAGATGTGATAAACTGGCCAAGAGTGTCCTCATAAGGCTGAGGTGTTAACCAGTGTTATAATCTGTGTAGTGTGCCAGGGAGCCATTGTTTCTGTTCAACCCACCATTGATGGATTGGAGTTTGTGGATATATTCCAATTTGGCTGCTTCTCTTTTCAATTTTCCTTTGTGGGGTTTGTTTGCTTGCTTGTTTTTTGAGAAAGTTTGAAAAAGAAAGGTTTTAACTCTTACTGGCTTATAGTTCACTGTCTGAACTTTCATCGGCTGCTAGCCCAAGGATTCCATCATAATGGTTTTGTTTTGGTTTTCCTGATCTGGATGGTATAAATAGAGTTGGGGGTGAGTTTGACTGATGTGGTTTCATCTGGTAACTAATGTTGCTCCCTTTCAGTAGAAACTGTATTTAATGCCGTCTGCCTTAGAGTTATGCAACTTGCAGTCACAGTTGATATGCAACATCTATGGTCATTTTTGTAAACCTTCAGGCTACAGATGAGTATATATTGCCTGTAGTTGCAAAATTTCAACATTTTTTTAAAAAAAGGTGGATTAAGCCACTTTTAAGTTATAGACTGATATGTAACTATTCACATGACTTCTCAAAAAAGTTTCCTTTGATTCCACAACATATAGTCTCTAATCTTTCACATGCTCTTTTAACTGTGTTGGTTCTTTCAAAGTGGGCATGCTTAGGGATGTGATGACCTGGGAGTTGTGCTACTACCAACATTTCCCACCCCTTGACATTACCCAGCTCCAAAAGAGATCCTGTGCTAGCAATCCTTTTCCTTTTTCCTCCCCTCTCTCCTACATCTTTCAGACAGCAAGGAACAGGGAGATGCAAGCAAAAGCAACACCTTGGCTGTCATCTTGATCAGTATTTATGATATCATAAACCAGACTCTGATTTATGGTGACCCTAGGGTGACTCTGTCATGGGATTTTCTTGGCAAGTTTCTTCAGAGGGAGTTTACCATTGCCATCCTCTGAGAGAATGTGCCTTGCCCAAGGTGACCCAGTGGATTTACATGCCCAAGCTGGATTTTGAACCCTGCTCTCTAGAGTTGCAGTCAGATGCTCAAACCACTACACCATGCTGGCTCTCACTGTAAATATTACAATTCATATTCATGGTTGTGGCACAACTGCAAATACCACCCCTAAACTTATTTTAGAAGGCAGGCAGCTGTATCAGTATAAGGAAATTCTAAAGTGCTGGAGACCGAGTCACTGAATGCTGATGCACCCATTGAGGCAGGGTGCAAAAAGCAGTTATGACCAGACCCCATGGGTCCTTGCCTTTTGCACTGTGTTTCACTGGCAGAGGAAGGCTGGATTAATCATTGTTCAATGTCCCACTCTACAGAGCCTTGGAATGCCTTTGGTTGGTGAGGCTGACTGGCCTCTCAGGAGGGTTTCAGTGGTGTCAAATCCTCAGATGGAGCTCTCTCATCATAGCTATGTCTGATGATGCAAGTTCATGGCCCTTGCTTTTACAACCTGGCTATGAGCAGATTCCCAAAGGCAAAACCAATGAAAGAAAAACAAACTCCAACAGAACAATTGTGGGCTACATGTTGTATTATCCTTTTTGTTTTGTTTTGTAATCAATTGATTTTGTAATCAAGAATTTTAGTTGGTTGACTGACCAACCCAAATGGTGCTCAGCAATGGCTCCTTTTCATCCTGAATATAAGTGACCAGTGGGATGCCACAGGGTTCTGTCTTAGGCCTAGTGCAATTCAATTTTTTTTTATTAATGACTTGGATAAAAGAATAGAGAGCATGCTTATCAAATTTGCAGATGACACCAAATTAGGAGGAGTAGCTAATACCCCAGAGGAGAGGTTTAGAATTCAAAATGACTTGAATAGATTAGAAAGCTGGACCAAAACTAACATGTAAAATATTGCACTTAGGCAGAAAAAAGGAAATGTATAAATATAGGATGGGGAACACCTGGCTTAATGAGACTACATGTGAAAGGGATCTAGGAGTTGTAGTAGACCACACTGAACATGAGTCAACAGTGTGATGCGGCAGCTCAAAAGGCCAATGTGATTCTAGGCTGCATCAATAGAAGTATAGTGGGAAGTAATAGTGCCATTCTATCCTGCTTTGGTTAGGTGTCACCTTGAATACTGTGTCCTGTTCTGGGCACCACAATTCAAAAAGGATGTTGACAAGCTGGAGTGTAGAGGAAGGCAACTAAAATGGTGAAGGGTCTGGAAAACAGGTCTTATGAGGAGAGACTTAGGGAGCTGGGTATGTTCAGCATGGAGAAGAGACAGTTAAGAGGTGATATGATAGCCCTGTAAGTATTTGAAGGGGTGTCATATTGAAGATGGAGTAAGCTTGTTTTCTGCTGCTCCAGAGAATAAGACCTGGATAGCTGCATGCAAAGCTACAGCAAAGAGATCCCACCTCAATATTAGGATCAACTTCCTGAGCTGTTCAACAGTGGAACACATTCCCTTGGAAAGTAGTAAAGTCTCCTTCTTTGGAGGTTTTTAAACAGAGTCTGGATGGCCATCTGTTGAGGGTGCTTTGATTGAGAGTTCTTTAAAATAATTTAAAATTCATTAAAATATTTTTAAAATGAACAAAATAGCATCTCATTAAAAGCCAAGCACAGTCATTTCCTAAATGCCTGATAGGATAAGAAAGTTTTCACTTGCCAGTAGAACAAGAAGGAAGCCATCACAGCCTAAATCACCTTCATCCTCAATATAACACCCCTTCAAATATTTAAATATGCCTATCACCATGTCACCTCTTAACTTCTTCTTCCTCAGGCAAAACATAGGAGATTATTGCACAAGCATAAAATCCTGGTTTATCTCTCATAAATTCAAATCTAATTTGGGCTGCAGCTGGGTCATATCGTATGACTCCCCCCACCCCAAACTGCCATCCAAGTACAGCCAGGCTCCAATGTGGCTCACTTAACTCACTTCACGGCCATTTCTCAAAAGTCAGAAGCTTCTAACTTTGAAAAATGGCCACCAGAGCATATTAAGTGAGCTGCGTTGGAGCCTGGCTGTACGTGGATGGCAGCTTTTGGGGGAAAAGCCATACGATAGAGCCTGGCTCCAGCTCGAATTAGACCTGAATTCAGGAGAGGTAAACTGGGATTTTATGCTTGTGCAATAATCTCCATACTGGGCTCCCTAAATCTCTCCTCAGAAGGCATGGTTTCCAGTCTTTTCACCATTTTGCTTGCTTTCCTCTGGAAAGATTGTACAAAATTATAAAGCATTCTTACACATTTTTTAAAATCTTATGCCAATCACTGTTTACTAAATTCTGTGATTATCCAACTTGGAAAAGACTCCTCTATGTGGGCGAAATGCCAGAATCCACTATTGTTGTTGCTGTGTGCCTCCAAGTCATTTCCTACTTATGGTGACTCTAAAGCGACCCTATGATGGGGGTTTCTTGGCAAGATTTGTTCAGAGAAGGTTTGCCATTGCCTTCCTCTGAAGCTAAGAGAATGTGACTTGCCCAAGATCACCCAGTGGATGAAAGGGAATCGAGCCCTGGTCTCCAGAGTTGCAGTCCAACACACAAACCACTGTGCCATGCTGGCTCTTGGATCTACCATAGTGATATGCAAAAGGCGATATGCGGTATTGGCAGATATAAGGATAGCTGTGTTTGTTCTATAATAAATATGATTAACGGTCTATTGAACAAGTGAGAGGTTCACCTGCTGATTTTAAAACACTGTTTATATTGGATTGTGCTTGTGGTGACAAAACACTTTCAACAGTAATTGACTATGCTGAAACAGAACATCCAACTGCTCAGAGAACTAAGCTTTTTACAATCCTGCTTCTGAGTAGAAAGAAGAAATCCCAATCTTGCTAAGAAAACTCCATGATAGGTTTGCCTTAGGATCGCCATAAGTCGGAAACAACTCGAAGGCACACAACAAAGTTTAGCTACAGTGTAAGAAATGGAGGAGTACACACTCTCAACCCAGAGAAGGAAGGAGAAAGAATAAGTAGATAAGGGGTGGGTAAGGAATCATAGGCCTTCCATATGTTTTGGACTACACTTCTCACTGTCCCTGCCCATTGGCCATGTTGGGCCTTGACAGCCCACAAAATTCCTAGGCTTAATTGCTTTCTAGAGTGTTGTGCCTCGCATAAATTATACTGAATCTTTTTTTACCTCTGATTTTGGCATGAGATGATTGTATTTCCCAGCATTAGTTAAATGCCTCAGATTTTGAGGTAGTTATGACTCCTTGTTTTCATTTTAGCTTTCATTTCTGATGTTCCTTCCTCCTCTTCATTCTCTGCCTTTACAATTCAGCATCACTAAATGAACACATCTTGGATTATAAAGGGTAGAAATCCCAAAAGATCCATCTTTCCCCCCTGTATTTCTTCTTTTACTGAGAAACCAATCATCAGATGAGATGATAATCCTGTTTCTAGACTGCATTTTCTGAAATCTCTCCTAGTATTCACATGCTAATGCTCCTCAATGGAAAAGTATTCACTGTTGGAATATGGATGGGATATACAGTCAAAGTAGAAATGTAGAGATGTGTGTGAAAAAAATTCTTATGGGAACAGTGTCTAAGGAAAAACAAAGAAGATTCGGCCAGCAGGTGGATCAAAGCCAAAACAAGTTCACACAGTACAGAATAACAAAAACACTTTGGGGTTGAGAACAGGATATTAACAGATAAACATATGAGCTCATTTAGTTCTCATAAGAATCAGGTCACATGGGGAATGACACACAGTTAGAGGCCGATCTAGAGGCTGGGTTACAAGAGATCATCCAATCATCATAAAGGTTAACACCCAGAAGGTGGAGTATGGGATGGGCCAAGAGTGTCTTTGTTCTCTTTGTTTATATACTTGTTGTATGTTCTTTTAAACTGTAACTGTAACTGTTCTATTACTAATTCTGTAATACTACAACAACGTCTACAAGATGTGATCCTATGGTCTATTGCAGGGACTGGCAACCTACAGCCCCTGGGCCGGTTCCAGCCCAGGTCGCAGGACTTACTGGCCCAGGTAGAACCCTGCCACCACCGCTGCCGCCGCGTGCTGCATTAGCGGCATGTTTGTGCCTCCGTCCGGCCACACGCGCCACGGCCGCCATTTTGATTTTGAAAATGGCGACCACGGCCGTGTTTGCGCATGCGCAGTACTCCTGTGCATGCACAAACGAGTTGTGACCACCATTTTGGAGAACAAAATGGCGGCCGCCACTCACGGCCAGCATTTTATTCTCCAAAATGGTGGCCACGACTCGTTTGCGCATGCACGGTACTTCTGCACGTGCAAACGCATCGTGGATGCCATTTTCAAAATCAAAATGGCGGCCGCGACATGCGCGGTGGTGGCTGTGGCCGCATGTGCTGTGGTGGTGGCAGCAGCGGCAGCATGCACGGGGGGCACGCGGGGCGGTGTGTGTGTGTGTGCGCGCGCGCACGCGCATGCCGCCATCCCCCCCTGGCCCAGTGAAAAGAAGGACTTCGGGGGACTGGCCCAGGCAGAAAAAAGGTTGCCTACCCCTGGTCTATTGCCATCTGCAAGATGGATTGTATATATTTCTTTTCTATTTTCTTATGGAACACTAAAGCTTTGATTTGGATTTATAAATGTGTCTTCATGGAACGGCCCTTTCCTTACCATGTTGCTGTTTGTGTCACCGATGACGTGCAGATGATTGACGTGCATTTTGAAGTGGCACAAACTAGAGGGAATGACAATCGTGACAAAAAAGAAGCAATTACAAGGGAATAGTGAAAAATTCTGCTTTCATTGTGGGAATCGATTCACCAACACAGAGCAAAGTTGAATCGGAAACTGGTTTAAATGTAAGTGGGAACGAGGCCCCAGATAGTGAGCCACTGATTCAAGTCAGTGTTGAACGAAGCCACAGTGGATATCTGTAATAACTGCACACTGAGTGTATTTGAAAATGTTACCTTATGGACAGGAATGGATGTGAAATTTGATCAGTTCACATGTCAGTATGAACTGACCTCATTCTCACAAGCATACAACAGAAACATCTTTTGAGTTTTTCACTTCTCTAGGTTTTGTGATTCAAACTTTTCTGAACTCAAAGTGTTTGCCAAAAAAAAAAAAGGGGGGGGAAGAGTGTATTAAGGGGAAATGCTTGTGTACAATTTTTCCACACATGAGCTTTTCATGTAGACTGGGGGGGGGGCATTCTCAAGCTGATGAGGGAATGGGATAGAATGTGTGTGCAAAAAAGTGAGTCAGAGACTTACACAGCCTCACTTTAAGGTGGTCTACAGCTGAATAAGTACATTTGTACTTGACATCTGGCTTTTTCTATTAATTCCCTCACTGATCCCTTCTTTCATCCTTCCACTCTATGGAATATTGTGTTTCTCTATTGCTTTGTCTATCTCCTTCACATCCTGCTCTCTTCACTCTTTCAGAGTGAAGGCTGAAGGGCCAATGGGCGCTGAGGCCCAGAAGCAGAGCAGCGGAGTGGGAGGAGGCATCAGTTCCCTTATAGCCCCTGTTTGCCAGCCCACAACACTGGCTGAAGGCTGAAGGGCCGATGGGCTCCAAGGCCCAGAGGCAGAGCAGCGGAGTGGGAGGAGGCGTCAGCTCCCTTATAGCCCCTGTTTGCCAGCCCACAACACCGGCTGAAGGCTGAAGGGCCGACGGGCTCCGAGGCCCAGAAGCAGTCTGGGAGGAGGCAGAGGTGATGTCAGCTCCCTCATAGTCCTCGCTCTCCAATTACAAACACCAGCTCTGAAGCTGTGGAGGACTCTGTCTTGGCCTTAACTCCAGCGGCAGCGAAGAGGCTCAGGTTGCCCCGGTGGGACTGTTTGCCCTTGCCTGCCTCCGAAACACCTGCGGAGGCTTAGAGGGTGGAGCCAACGCCAAGAGAAGCCTCAAAAGCTCCCTGCACACCTGAGGAACACCAGCTGCAGCGGAGAGGCTCAGGTTGCCCCAGCGGGACTGTTCGCCCTTGCCTTCCTGCAGAAAGCTGCGACTGTTTGCCATTGCCTTCTTGGTGAAAGCTCTCGGCTGTGAGGCTCAGCCACAACACCGGCTGTAACGCCAAGGACTTTAGGGCCCAGAAGCGGTTTTGGGGAGGAACAGAGGCAGCATCAGCCTCCTTATATTGCCTCCGCTCTCCAGCCACCAACACTCGGCTGCGAGGCTCAGCCACAACACCGGCTATAATGCCAAGGACTCTAGGGCCCAGAAGTGGTTCTGGGGGAGGAATAGAGGCGGCGTCAGTGGTGGCGGCGGTGTTGGGAGCCGCTGGGAGGACTGAACACTTTAAGGCTCTAGCTAGCCCTTGTTATCTGGCCCTCCAACCCCAGCTGTGCCGGTGCGAACGCCCGGGAAGTGCGGGCGGATATAAGATCTCCGCCCAGCCAGCCCAATTGATTTTGGGGCTCCAAGGCTAGTTAAACTAGCCTGTGTGAGTTAAATAAGCCTGTGTGAGAAGTGCCATTGGTGGTTCGGCGATGGGAAGGGATACTGAGACGGCTATTGAAGTA